GCTTCATGCCGTTTGCGTTTAATTCTTCTTGAAACTGGGAGTCATGCATGATTTCTTTGACGACCATTTTGGGTGTTTAACAAACACTGACGAGATCAAAAAAATATATCGTTTACTGTTTAACTGTAAATTTAAAATGGTTTTCGAAACGTAGAATACCTACTGAATAATATTATAACGAGTAGGCATGACACACAAAAATTCTAAATTGTAATCAGTAATCACTAATAGGAAGTCGGGAGGATGTAGATAAATTCCGTGGTATATTATCCAATATTATTTTGCAAGTCAATGAACGTTATCATAAACAGACGAACAGTGTGATCGGATCGTCGATCATAAATTACCTTAATTTTATACTCTGATAACACAGACTAAAATATAATATCATGGTTTGAGTTTTTTTCATTTATTTACGTTAACATTTTGATTAGTGGGTGAATTAACTTGAATACAAACTACAATCGTGAATCGTCAAGCCTTGTTAATTTCAGGCGCGGGGGGGGGGGGTGGTATTACACTTCAGTAAAAAAATGTAAATTGGAAAAAAAATCCCCAGTCGCATTATATTGGGGATCTAAATATAATTTATTCATTTTCCAAATTTTATAATATAAGAAATAAAGTAAATATTGTATAGGTACTATGTTAACAATTGCCATTTTATAAAAAATTGTCTAATACACAATATTTATTTATTATTATTAATATAAGCTTCGGGGCAAATGTAAACTGGGCCCGAAGGTAACTTTTTTGTTGTAAACTCGGCCCGAGAATTTTAGGTAGTAAAAATAGGTAGATTGTAAACTCGGCCCGGAAATTTCAGGTAGTAAAATAAATCGATTGTAAACTCGGCCCGAAAACATACATAGGAGAAGATTCTATGCTTCCGCCTGAAATGTGGGCCAGTGCATCAGTTGAAACGTATTTAACAACAAATGCATGTGAATCATTTCATGCGCATTTTAATTCAAGTTTTAATTCCACTCACCCCAATATATATTCCGTCATTTCAAAATTAAAAGAAGTACAAACAGAAACGTACATTAAAATCAACAGCCTAGATGCACCATTTAAATTCCAAAATATAAAAACTTTTTTTGAACTCTTAGAAAGAACACTTACAAAATATAAAAATAAAGATATATCAGTGAGTGAATATGTAAAATACATATCTTTTTACTTAAAAAAACCATATTTATATATTATTATAATACAATTTTTCACTCATTATTTACACTACAATATTACTTATTTATTTTTTATTATATTTTTACATATTTTTACACTTATACATTTATACGGCCGAAACGCTATCGGTGAAACAATGCATTCTATCGGCTGCCGAAAATAGATATAATATACAATTCAAGAGAGTCTACGGGGAGGGGCATGGCCCCTTGCCCCCCCTTGGATCCGCGCCTGTCTACATATCAGTGCTTATTATTGTCACCATAGTCGTAGTTTACCTGTCGTTTCGTATCGTTGTTTTTGCTCTCATAATGTCTTCAAAGATTTGTTTAAGTTTAGGCCTATGATATGTAGCCAATGATATTTTTTACTGTTGGCCGGAAAATGATACAATCTTAATCGTGCGGAATATTATAACTCTATATTACTGAATTTTCTTTTTTATTCAGTTGTAAGGAAACCTGCCTAAAACGGAAATTTTTATACAAAATACCATATCTACATATTATTATTATTATTTTTTTTTATTTGAATTAAGCCTCGGCAACTATGGCTATTGGCAACAAAGAGTTTAAAATTAAATTAAATTGTTTACATGATATATGTTACATATTAAATATTATTGATAAGGTTGGATTTAAAAATAAAGGTTATAATGTGTTTTATGTTGTCCGGGCGGAGAGCTTCTGACAGAACGTTTGAGATGCCTGCTTCTCGTCTATCCGTTTCGTATGAAAGGCTGGATGTGTTTGATTGAGAGCGGAGTATCGCAGCTGGCACATATTGGTGGGTCTTCCTTCTTCATCAGATACTGATGTGTTATCGATGTATGTCCTATACGAGTTCTATTGATCGAGGTTTCCATTTTCCTCGAGAAGTCTGGTGGAGAGGGCCGTGTGTGGATGGTATTTTTAATTTCGTTTAATTTTGAGGTACCTTGTTTCCATGCCCGTTGCCATATGTTGTTTGATCTACATATTATTATATTACAATATAATTGCAAATATCTAAATTTTTAGTATCATTTGTATACTATTTCTTGACAAATTAAGTACTTTTTGTGTCGCTTATAATTGTAAATATATTATAGCTTCTGATGTTTTGAACAGCAATATAATATGACGAAGGTAACCAGTTGATTTTTCGCCGGGTACCTAAATATAAACTGTATAGGTATATACAGATTACCTGTAGCTATTTATCTGCCGAATTAATAAACGATGTGTGATAGTGTATGATTACACTAATGTAGCGGATCGGATGAATTATATACGCCCCCAAAAAAATAAAATTAAAACAGTAACAATTTAATACCCATATTATATGTTGCACTTAATATTGTTCGCCTTATCGTTTTATATATCTGTCGGGGTTCAAGTTATATGTTCAAGTATGAACGACAATCGTGCAGTTATTCCGGTTTTGTGGGATTCTTAATCATATATAGGTATAAAGCGGTACCGCAGGAAAGTAATCGTTGTGATCGTAATAATCGTATTTTATACATTTATACGACCGTCGTATCCTCAAAATAGTTGATCATGAATCATGATGTGTAAACCAACTTGAGAGCCTTGATAAAAACAAAGACCTTTGTCGAGGTCCTCGTATATATACCTAATACCCAGTACCCATAATTTATAGTTGTTCCTTGTACCCACATGATATTTAAAACACAGCAGTCTGTGAGTATTTGAATCAAATATAACTTATAATATTATAAATTATACCTAATACATTTTTAATGTATATGGTAAAGTGATACGAGTCTTATAATAGTTGCCTCTCAATTTACCGGAAGAGAATAGACCAGTCACTAGATGATTGCCAGATGATTAACAAAAACAACAGATGAGTGGAATCTTACTGAAAAAAAAACGATTTTTACTTGCAAAATAAGTTGCGTGAAGTTGCCCCTCCCCTCCATATTGAAATTTTGATTTCAAAGCTTCACTAAAATTTTGGAACTTCTTTGGAACCAATTCAAACCTAGTTTTCTAAATTTGGAACCTCATTTTTTCAGTTGGGGGGAGGCAACTTCAAGCAGCCCCCTCCCCCACTTTTACGTATCTACTTCAAACCTTCACCAATCTTTTGGAACTTATTTGAAAGTAATTGGAACGCTGGTTTCGAAATTAGCAACTTCACCCATTCTACGGAAAATCTGATTTCGTGCTAACTTTACCTATCGACTATCGAGCTATCGAGCTATCGACTTCAAACAAATGAACTTTAGAAAAATAAAATAAATTAATGAATAAAAAATAAAAATAAATAAAAGATACAAAAATAATTTTAAAAAAATAACTTATATCTAATAAATGGGAGATGTTTCAGATACCCGGTAATTATTCGATGGCCGAGTATTCAATATCATATTTAAAACTCGGTCCTTACCCTGTAATCGTCATAATACCTACATTTGTACACGACTTTAATTCTACATTTTTACTCAACACACATCCTTTGACAGGCAACCGCTGATTCTCTATTCTGCACGACTGTACATCAATATATTATGTATATCTATAGTTAATATAATTCTAAAAAAAAATCTAAAATTATAAAGTAATAAATTATAATTTATTTTGGTACATTTTGGAATAACTAAACCAATTTATAATAGCCAGTTTATAAAAAAAAAATGATTCTTCTGAGATCGTTGTTTATTGAATACCGCAAACCTATTCATAGCGTTACATACGGTACATCGATACCTATATTATAAATGTGACTGAGATATTAATTTTAATCGATATCGATAATTACTTACTTGAAATGTATGATTAATCGATTTATGCTGCATCATTTTAAGAAAATTGGTTATCAATGCATAATCCTAGAGCTTTTACTTTGGCAATAATAATTTGCGTATGGAAAAAATAGGATGAATGTTTTATTATGTATACACAAAAAAAGAGGGTAAGTGGATGTCATTCTGCTGTACATTAGGTGTCTGAGACTGAGAGGTTGCTGTAATGGATGATATTAAATTTGAATTGAATATGATATCAAATTATAGTATACTAAAAATGATTCTGAGCGGAAACAGTATGTTAGTTTAAGATATTTTTTATTGTTATTACTTGTTATTAATATTTGGTAGCCGGTAAGTTATTCTTAAATCATCGGTGATGTTGGAAAAATATTAAATATACCTATGTAAAATTGGGCTGTTTTGGTACAGCAAAATGATTAACGGCATTTTTTGTGTTAATATATGCAAAACGAGTTAAAATATTTTGAACATTTTATCAAGTATAAAAATTGATGAAATAAACATTTGGTGTAAATTTCAAATGTCTACAGTAATTTTTTAATTTACAACAAAATAAGAAAATTGAGTAAATATCCAATGTTGTAAAATTTCAACTTCAAAGGCTCATAAAAATTGAATTTGGTAGAAATTCCGATAGAAATTTTTTTTTTGTAAAGATAGAACTTATAAGAAATCTTGTACTAAATTTTTAAATTTTAGATACAAAAAGAAAAGTCGCTGTAAATTTTTAACTAAATATAATTTGATAATTTTCGTGATTTTTACGAATTTTATCAAAATTCTAAGTTTCAACGTGCATTAAAAATAATGGTGGATATACGCTCAACTTTTTTTTTAATTTCCATTAACAATCACTTACAAAGAATCTTGTATTACGTTTACAAGTTTTTGTCTGAGAATCTAAAAAAACAATACAAGAAGCAGCCAGGACGATTGTTTTTATTAAATTTGAATATATGACCTCTATGGGAACTAGAAAAAACAATTTGAATACCAGCTTATCCTAGTAAATTGTATGTACCTACCTACCTATTTCATATTATTTTTGTTTCTTATTCCTTTTATAATACGCTGCAAGTGTTTAAGTAATTATCTACACCTATTAATTTAAAAAGGTGATTTGTTGATACCGAAGATGGAACTGGAGTTTAGAGCTTAAACGAGTTATTCGCGTATTTTCGTTCGAAACAAACTTGAAAAATCGTCATAAAAATCTCATTTACAAAATTAACATTTATTTAAATTATATCATTATATACATTTTATTGTTAAATAAGTGAATCACAAAGCCACGACCCTGAATTGTTTTCAGGAAACAACTGTGTTGGACTTGTTACAGGTAATATCACGAAAAAATCCAGAAAAATTTACCAAGGCTGAACAAACTAGTTCTATAACACATACGTTTTATACGAACAAGAGAGTATGTTTACGATTAGTATATTGCACCGACTAAATAACTTATGATGTGTTACAGCAACTGCTAAAAATTTTGAATCAGTAGTATAGTTTTGAACGTCGCATCATTGAGATACTAACAGGGTTGAGCGCACTAAAAAAAAAATTTTGTTTTACAAACCTCAAATAATTGTTTTTTTAAAGTTTGCTTACTATTTTCACACAACTCTATATAAGCGAAAATGGTTCTATCACCGCCAAATGAACAACAGGAACAAGCTATCAAAAATCTATACTTCTACAAAGACCCTAAAGAAACTGAAGAAGATATTGACGCTTTGATTGAATGGTTGTCCAAACAACCTCATTTACCTAATATAACAGGTTTGTTGAACTTTGTTTCTCATAATAAAACGAATAGGCACTTTAACTGACTAAACCTTTAATTATTATTATTAACACCTAGCGAAATAAAATTGCCCTTGAAAATGTCACAAAAAAATAAACTCAAACAGTTTTCAAAATCATCATACGGTATATTTTTAACTGTAATATAATTGTAAACCAGCGAATCTTGTTTATCAGAAATATTACTAGATTAAAAATATTATGATGTATACTCTTTTCCATGAAATTAAACAAAAGTTTTTTGAATATTTCTTATTCCCTACGAAGATTAAGTATTAATAATTTTCATATATTTGTGTTACAGAAAAAATTATTAGTCTATAATATTTGTGTACCTATACCAAATTTTGGAAAGTTAGTTGTATTGTGACAAGCGAAAACTCTATAAATAAAGAATAAAGTTGAATTGATACTTTATAATTATATATTTTAAATTTATTAGTATCTGTATTGTTTTAACTAAACCATAGTACGTATTATTTATATCGTACAAAATAACAGACAATCTGATAGATTTCAAATAATTCATTATGTCACGTATTGTTTATGTTTCCCTTTGAAAAATGTAGAGCTATTTATAACCTATAGGTGATCATCAATTTCGCTTTAGCACTCTAATAAAAATCCATTATTAAAAAAATATAATAAATATAATAATACCTAACCTTTTTTTTAGTTTAATAATTATTGCTTTTTCATTATTTAAAATATTCAACCAGTTGTTAATTATTTTTATCTATACAATTGCTTGTTTGTATACATAATACCTACTTATAATTGATAAGCTATAATAGTTGTAGAACTGAAGACCAATGGTATTTAGTATGCATTAATACATAAATACTTTTTTATATAAATAACATAGTCTTTAACATTTAATAATATATTTCACAGGTTACCTATTGGTAACTGAATTTTGATAAAGTTACCTATAAACAGTTGTAATCATAATGTTTTAAATATTTACCACAAGTTCATTTGTTTTTTTTAGATAGTATCTTTTTTAATACAAAAATAAACCATATTTACTAAAATTATGCATAAATATATAATAAGCATGCTGTGGGAAAAAATGTCAAAAATTAGCGACGCTTTTCGTATGTGGAGATTACCGTCTATTAACGGAACTCCAGGAACAGCATCTAGTAACTTGTGGTTAAATAAAGTTTTAAATATAACCCTGCATTTAAAGTAAGCCCGTTTGTTGATTTTTTTCATTTAGACCGAGTATGGTTGAGACATTTCCTCATTGGCCGTAAAAATAATTTGCAAATGACAAAGAAAGTTCTTGAATCATACTTTACGATTCGTGTAGAAATGCCTGAATTTTTCAACGACATGTCAAGTGATGCAGAATGGATTCAAAAGGCAGTTAAAGTTGGGTAAGTTCGTATTCTTAATATTTGATATTATTTAGGTAACTTCTACCTTTCAACCATGATTTTTTTCGTTGCTGTAAATGTCAACAATGAATACTATATCACAAATATTGGACAAAAGTTGAACATGTTTTTAATATTTTAAATTAATATTTTGGTCCATATTCATACTACTCTCGTATGTTTAAATATAATGATTATTAAATATAAATATCAGATGAATCATATATATGCGTTATGTTAATCTAATTTGATTTTAAAAATTTTGTTTTAAATGAATATTTAGATATCTTACATTTCGGAATGCAGTCATCATAATATTAGATGAAAATTTAAATTGTATTAGTTATTAAAATAAATGTAGTATAACTCAACTATTTTTGACGCTTGTGTATTTAATAATATTCTTAAAAATAATGATTTCCGGTTAAGTATAGATTTGTTCCATTTTTAACTAAAGATGTAAACAACTATAGAAATAAACTTGTTTTTCCTTTTAAAGATAAGTGACCTTAATTTAAATGTTTTTTTGATAAATAATATTAATGGGCGTAATAAATTTCAAAAAGTATTTTAGTATTGTATGTCTAGTCAGTGTTATGAAGGCCGGTGTCGCATTTGCGGAATATCGAGAAAAATGACTTCTGCAACTGTTTGTAATAATTATACCATCCGTAAATGAGACTGTTGATACCTATATAGTCGACGATAAAATTATTTTGAACTCCTCGATTGTATAATATGAGAATATGCTCTATAGTGCATGTATACCTATAAAAGTACGTCATTAAAAAAAAAAAAAATATTTGGTTTGTAGAAAAATGTCAGTATTGCCGAAAATGACACCGGAAGCAAATCGCGTGCACATTATTCGGTCAATTGAAAACAACGACGGAGACTTCGATGCGATCGCTATGTGTAAAGGATCATTGAAAACCATTGATTATTTGATGCGTCGAGAACCCGTTTACGGATTGGTGTTCTTGCTCGATCTCAAACATTGTCAACTGTCTTATTTATTAAGCTTCACACCTACATTAACAAAAAACCTAATGAGATGCATAGACGTAAGTAAAAATATTTTTCTGCCGTAAGTTACATAAAATGTACAACATGTATACTAACTAACGCCTATCTGCGTAAAATACAAACATTAATTTTGCGAAAAACTATAATTATTGATAAAAACCAATAGTGAACATAATATTATCCATATAGTTTATCACTAAATTGCAGGCTAAAAAACCGTTAAATTATATAAACAGCCTAGCCTACCTAATACCTATACTCATACCTATAGTTAATTCAAAGAAAACATTCATGCACATTTATAAGAATTATTACAAAATGCAAATATATAAAGTTAATGCATACATAATCTATACATTTATATTTTTAATGTATTAAATCACGTATTAACACAAACAAATGTATACAATATTGTTTACTCTAATTTTAAATGTATACATGATAGCATACTAACGGTAAAACTCTGCGTTTTCGGTTTTAGGAGGCTACGCCATTGCGAGTAAGAGGGGTCCACTACGTGAATCCACCAAAGTTTGTGTCCCGTTTGGTGAATTTCTTCAAACTGTTCATGCCGTCTAAAATTCAAGACCGAGTAAGTAACAATAGTGTACCAACTGAACGAAATACTCGTTTGGCTTGTGCATACCATAACAATTGTATTGATCGTTTTGAACTTTTTGTTTTAGATTGTCATTCACGAAACCTACGACACACTTTACGAATACATTCCCAGGGATGTGTTGCCGGACGAGTACGGCGGTACCGCGGGCAGTATCGAGAAATTCGAAGGTACTTAAATCATACTATTTTCGTCAACGTTCGGCACGATTTCTAAAACGTGCGATCGAAACGGTTTTAGTACCTAATGACTCACGCAGTCCTATTTAAATAACGTCGATTGATTTATTTCAGACGACATCATGAGAGCGACAAAGGAAGACGACGAATGGTACAGAAATATGCCTAAAGCCGATTTATCGAAACGACCAATGCAACCGAAAAAGATTGATATGGACATGAGTGGCACTTTTAAGAAATTGAACATCGATTGAACCACATTATACGCTGAATAAAATATAATTTCGTTCACGGTAGACTTTTAATAATTATACTAGCGATTTGACGTATTTGGTGAATAATAGCCGTGAATTCAAACAATACGAACACGAAATGCTATAATAGTATTATAAGTAGACAGTACTATAACATTTGACAATATATACACGGATAAACGCGGTATACATTCTCAATAATTACTATAGCTATATTTAATATATTTATTTGTTTAGACGTAGAAAACATTATTATATTTTCAATTTTGGTTTTGATATTTTATTTAAATGTACCTTTTGGCCTGCAAAAAGTTACTTAATCGTATTTGTCTGTTTAATGTAGACTGTAGATTAATCGGTAGACATTACTCATTTAGTATTATTTAATTTAATATCTTCGGTATGAGGTATTTATTATTTAAGCATAAAAATTAGAAATAAATGTATTGTATGTTTTTCAACTATGTAGATTATACGTATTGTGGTAATATAATGGTAATATAATGTTTGGTAGTAAAGTATTATTAAAAAACAAAATGTGATTTCGTAAAGCGAAAAATAATAAAAACGTCTTGTATTTATTTTTTTCTTTTAGAAACATGAAACCTAGTGGGAAACGTTTGCACAGTACTGCCACTATTGGGCATTATTGGCCCTATATCATTTATACAAATAATAAAAAAAAAAATGTATCAATATACATACATACAGTACAATACTTTAACATATCTATGTAGGTAGTATACAATACTTATTTACACACCATATTATATCTAAACTTAATTTTTTTCTTTTGTATTTAATTTAACCAGCTTTTTACGCTGTATTTACTTGCCTTGTATTAATTTTTTTGTGTAAAATTGATTATTATTGAACATTATGTTTTAACGACTTTGTAAAATACAATAATATATATTGAATTTTGGGCGCAAGCCCGAAGTTTCTTATACATCATTAAAATAAAATATTACGAAAGGCTCTGCCCTTACAATTGCCACCTTCAGTGCACAGTAAATATTTAGCTAATTAATTTGTCTTGCCCAATCCACTGCTTCCGTCTTTTGTAGTAGTGGCGCACAAAAGGTGGAGGATTTGGAGCTTAAGCCAGATGTGTAGCATAACTGTACAAGGATGTTTTTAGATTTTAGATTATTGTATTTCAATGTATTGTATAGTAATTTTTCTGATCACATTCGGGAGTGTATTATAAAAAAAAGTAATACAATAAAACTATAAAAGGAATGCATATTGAGTGATGTTAAGCGGCGGATGGAGCTTAGTAGTTAGTATGTTATAAATGTATAATTAATGACTCACGTTTTAATTTATGTGTACCAACAAGCAATGATTCGTTTTACAATTATAAACTATACTTTGGTTAGGTTATGTGTTTATAAAGTTTAAAGTTACTGTATGACGTAGTATACATGAGTAACTTTGTATAATATTATGTATATTGTATATAGTAAATTATAAATTTATAGAGAATAGTCCAGTGATGTGAACATATTGTAAGCGTGGGATGTAAGACAGCAAGTTATGAAATTTAAACACAAAGTATCTTATAATTACAATTTATTCTTAAATAAAAATACAAATATAAATTTAATTATTATTACAACATATACGTAATTATAAAATATGTATACAAAACAAATCGAATGAAATTACAATACTTAGGTATATATACTATTTTGATATCGACAGTCCGATTAAATTAATGTAATTTCATTCGAGTTGGATTCTCTATCAAAAACTGGCCCTGCAGAAAATAACATTCAGCGTTTAAACGTAACGAAAAATCATACGTCGGGAGATAGAGATTGAAAGGAAGATAGAGATAAGGGGGGGGGGGGGTAGATGTAGAGAAAGAGGAACAGAGATAGAGAGAGAAAGAGACTAGGAATTTTGTTTTGTCTGTTTTTGTTTTCGCTTTTCGGTTTTGTTTGTGCTATCGCGAAGCGTACACCTGCAGGTTATATCAGTTATTGCACACTGCAGGCCCGGACGACCAGTTGCAAATGCCGCCCACTTGGTCGAACGACAGTCCCTTGGGGCACGTGTACTCCCACCCGAACAGCGCTCCGTATTCCGTCTTGGCGCAGGATATGAATTTCTGGCACGAGAACGGATGCGGGAAACTGCCCATGTCCAGACACTCGATGTACCCGTCCCCGTGTATGCGGACCTTGCCCTTGAGAGCCACCCGCTGTTCGCTAGAGTCGGACGCCTGTTCCGGTTCCGAATAGTCGGCGTACTGTTCCTGCGTGTTGTCGTTCAGGTACTGCGGCGGCGCGGACGTCGCGGCTGTTCCCAGCGGCGTGGTCCTCGACGGACCTCTTCGCAATATGAACGTTTGCCGAGAGGTGGCCGGCGGCAGGGCGGTCGTGGGCGATTGTCTCGCGACTGGCGCGAACGCGTTGTTCGTCTGGAACGGTAGTCCGGGATACGGGACCGGCTGGAAGGGACCCGCCTGGAACGGAGAAGGCTGGAAAGGTGCCGGCTGGAACGAGGCCGCGGGTAGCTTGATGGATGGTGGCGGCGGCGGCGGAGGCAGTTGAGGTTGCGCCGATTGTCTCAGTGACTGCACCGGCAGTCGAGCCTGCTGGACGCCGTTGAACGCGTCTACAGAATGTTGTGGTGCTTGTGGCTCGTAATATTCGTGGTTCTGAGTGGTTTCACGAAAAACGTTCTGCTGCGGACTGTGCGTAGAAGGTCCTAAGGGAAAAAAATCGTAAAAATCAAGCAAATACATTTTTCAATTTTATCCACGGTAACTATATAACCGCTATAGCCTAACTCGTTTTACTTGTTAATATAAATAAAATCAATCTATTCATTGTTATTTTCTAATTATTTGTCACATGTTTACCCATTTCTTTGCTATTATAGCACACAGACACAAATAATATTATATAGTGTGGATAAGTTATTCTTACTGAATTCGTAATTTGATGGAGGCGCCGTAGCGAGTGTATGTATGGCAACTACAGCTGTATTGGCCAGGTCTTCTGTTGATCCGCCAATTTTACGATCATCTCGGGTCTTCGCAAAAAGACTCGAATCGTCGAAATATGGTTGTGCTGACGTACTGAAGAATTCCCGATCACTGTCGTCTAAAGTTTCTGGTGTTGTACTTGTAGTTATTGTATTTTTCAATAATGGTGTTCGGCTTCTAAATCTTCGTTCAGGATTTCGAGTTTTCGGTGTAGTTATTTCTTTAAAATAAAATGTAGCAGTTTTAGTAATGATAATATAGGTTTTATTCGTAAATATTATAATATACCGTTTATTATGTTTGATATTGATAAAAAATAAGTATAAGCTACCGACAACGTGATAAATAAGGGTAAAAATATATTTTGTTTTTAGTAAATTAAATTCTCATTTCAATACCTACTTAATTGTTATTATTTATATCAAAATTAAATTTAACGAGAGCGTTTTATACACTTTGTGTTTTGTAACATTAAATTATATTACAATAAGTAAAAACTTTAATATTGTTATATCACGTTATCTCTTAAAAGTAAAGAATTTGATTTAGTACAATAATAATTGTATGATTACGCCGTGGGATACTTGTGGGTATGGCATTGCACTTAGGTACAATAACTTGTGGTAGTAACAAAAATAAAATTAATGTAATTTATGGTAGTTATTACTTATCAGGTGTATTATAATATATTATATTTAACTTTAATACAATTTTATTTATTATTGAGCTAATTAGGAATTAGATTTTTCAATTAGGTAAAATTATCTGACTATATTTATACGTAACTAGCTGCCCGTGTATTATATAGCTATATAAAAAAACCCCTTTTACCCTCTTAGCTAGAGGTCTAATTTTGAAAAATCCTTTCAAAAAAAAAAAATAATATTTACAAATGACTTTAATGATTCTATTCACATATTATTATAGCAAAATGATGCTATAGTTAAAATTATAATTTGCTTAGTTAACACGTTTATCGCATATCGATAACACAATTTGTGTAATTGATCTATTCAATGTTTACCATTCAACTCTTGACTTAATAAAAATATTATGTTAGTTTGTAGTTTAAAATTTCGGCAAGTATTCCTAGGTTATAAATTATAGCGGTTGCGGCCATTGCTATGTATTATCGTCAGTAGACAAATTAACTGCCGTAGTTTCGTGTCGAAACAAAGATCTATTATATCAATATTATATATTTTCTAGCTGATCCTATGGATTCTATATGAGACTCGCATGTGATAATGTGAGCAGTATATTATCAGGTAGGCTACCAATCTGCACTCTGCAGTGGCTTACGGACCCCGCTAGGTGCACACTCTATACGAATAATATGTTTAATTTTAATTTTATTAACTATTTTGAATATTATATACATGCCGATGAGCGGTCGTAACTCAGCCGACAGCCACATTTTAACTATTAATTATGTCATACGGACAATTTTATAAGCTAAAGCTCGCTGTAGCTTTTTCAACTCAAAAAAACACTCAGGAACTAAAAAAATAAATCATCAAAAAAATACTAAAAAAAAAATTTAAAAAAAAAGAGTTTAAAATTGTTTTCTTAAAAACCTTCTCCTAGCAATTACGAACAAATAAAAAAAAATTGAGCCAAATCGGCCCAGCCGTTCTCAATAGATGAATTGTCATACATTTTTGGCTTCATTTATATATATATGTTACGGGCGTGGAAAATTCGGACAATGTATACAATGGCTGGACATTGTATACAGTGACCGGGCATTGTATACAATAGCCGAAGTATATTGGGCAATGTTAATTGTGAAGTATTTATACAAATAATCTGCATTTTACCTAATCAATGATATTATATACTAATTTAATTATACTCATTTATATGGTTATTTATATAAGAGTATTACAATTTTTTTTAAATTAATTAAATTTTAAATGTATTTGAAGGTAATGCAATAAAATATTATGTGCATAATGTTCAGTTATACGATATTATACATGAAGTTCATTTGTCAATTGGACATTGAGGTAGAAATAGAATGGAACACGAGATTAATAAAAAGTACAAAAATATAAATAGAGATGTAATAATGTTATACTTAAATAATTGCGAATCGTATAAAAAGAAGGGAAGTACAGCTAAAAAAGGGTTATTTGTAAAACCAATCATATCTTCTGAAATGAATTCTCGCTGTCAAATTGACTTGATCAAAATGCAAGCACAATCAGATGGAGAATATAAGTTCATATTAGTTTATCAGGATCATCTAACAAAATATATTATGCAGATTATTTGTATAAATACTTCACAATTTACATTGCCCAATATACCTCGGACATTGTATACAATGCCCGGTCACTGTGTACAATGTCGGGCATTGTATACATTGCCCGAATTTTCCACTTTGCCCGTAACATATATAGATTTATGATTACATTTTAATAAAATTGTTTACAAATTCATAACATACCTTCTTCGTAGCTTGAAGTTGAAGTAGTTGTATATTCGGGCCTAAATTTTCTCCTTCTATTTACTTTTGACGAATATGATTCTGTTGCAGATGAACTTGGAGGTGATTCTTCGGTAGTAGTAGTTGTTGTCGTTGAACGTTGAACTGGTCTTGTAATTCGTGTACGAATTCTATCTTTTTGAATCTTAAAAAAAATATTTATGAAACTTAATACCAATATTATGATAATTTATTGTCAAATACAGTAGAAAAAAATGAGTATGTTAGCATTTATGTTTATTAGTGGATGGGAAGCTTAGGATGCAATGCAGTGGCGTAGCGGATGCTCGAACCATTCGTACCTGTCTTTATTTTATCATGCAACTTATTTCCACCGATTTTTAATCGTCAGTATGGTTCTTGTTAAGCCAAAATAATTTTTCCAGTTTAGATTTAATCATGCAGCAGTCATCAATTCACCAGCGACCACAACATTTACACATTCGTAATTCATATTAATGAGGTAGTTTATATTATTAGTAGCTTTCGTGCGCCTGACCGACGATTCGTTTTAGTTGTTTTAACTTGTTATGCAAATTTCATTCATACCTCTTCTGTCGATTCAGTGGTGGTAGAAGTGGTTGGTCTGAATTTTGTTTCACTTCCTCTGAACAGCTCATTTGGTCGGTCATCATTTGTCGACTCATCGGTCAGAGTGTTAAGTTCTAGAGAATCATATGCTCTGACTCTACCCCTATTTCTAGTTACATTTTTGACAGGATTTGATGTAAACTCATTTTGAGATCGGCCATCTGGCGAAGGTATAACTTTAATAAATAATATTTTTTGTTCTTCTTTTAAAAATCTTGAATTTTGTCTGCCCAGTGACGGAGATCGTGGTTTATCAATTTTACCTTGAAATCCATCGTTTGCTCTTACTGATCCTCTGAAAGACTTCGTTATTTTATTAGTGATTGGCTGTATTGTCATTTCAGTTGTACTATATTTTATTGGCTCAAAACTATCGACTGTTGTTATTTTAATTTCCTCATCATTTATTGAAGTCTCTTCGACGTAGTTTGTAGTTGGGACATGCATTGTAGTAGGAGTGTTGTATGTTGTCGTTTCATAACGAACATTATCTGCATTTTCTTCACCATTTAATAGTTCTGTTATTGTTTCTTCTGTTGTGGTTGTGGTAGAAGAAATTGGTCTGCGGCTTCTAAAAAATCGTGACCTTTGTACTTCTTGTACTTCTGTATTGTTTATTACTGGTAACTCTGTTGTTCTTTGTCTGTATCTAGAAATAAACTTTCTAGTTAATGGTAGTTGATTATCTGTGGCACTGCTAGTAGTTTGTCTAAATCTATTAATTTGCCTCGTACTTGATTCTGATGTGCTTTCAGTAGTTGATGTAACAAATATTTTACTTGTGGTACTTATACTTTCTGTACTATAATTACTAGCTGGTCTGATAAATCTGTTAATATATTTATTTAAACGATTTTTTTTCTCTGTAGTTGTTTCAACTATTTTTTCTGTAGTTGTTTCAATTACTTTCTCTGTTGTTGTTCCATTGTTTTCTGGAATGCCTATTAACTTTCTTAGAGTTGGTCTGAAATGTACTGGACCTCCAAATCGACCTTTGAGTATTGATTTCTGAGTTGGTTCTTCAACTATGGCTATATTTTCCATTGTTGTCGATAAAGTAGTAGTTAATGGAGTTGTAGTGTGTGTGATAGATTGGGTAACTGGTTCAGTTTTCTTATGCTCCAATAAAAAGTTTTGAATATTTTTTACACGAACTCTTTGCCTTTCTGTAGCAGCTTCATATATAGATGTAATAACATTAGTGACAGTCGATGTTGGAGCTTTTGTAGTACTTATAGTATTACTGATCTTTTTATCAATTGAAACTGAGGCTTTGGTTGTACTTGACGTATCGTTCATTTTTTCAGTATTTAATATTGAAGTTTCACTACTTTTTGCAGTAGTAAATGTGGGAACGTTTACGGTTGTTGTGATTGTCTCGGTAAATGGTTCAGTATTGAATAAGATGGTCGTAATTATGCTAGACTCTGTTGTTAAAGTCATATCACTCACCTTGGTGTTTTTATTCTCTCTTGGTTCTTCGACATTGTCTTTCGTGGTTGTTTCGATCAATGTATCATCGGGTGTTGTTGTAGTGGTTGTACTCCTTTGCCTTAATAATGAAACATACCTAAAATACATTATGATAGATTGATATAATATACATATATAAATATATTTATAATACGCAATAAATAATATAATGTTTATATATTTTATTATTGCGTGATATACCTTGGTGCCTGTGAAGTAGATGATACTGCAACTGGAGTGATTTCTTCATCACTTATTTCATCTTCTTTGTAAGTTGGTCTCTGTCTACGCAGAGTAACATATTTTGGACTCGTTGTTTCTTCGGGATTATTTTCTGTTGATTTAGCCCGACTAATTGTGGTATACTTAGGCAATGAATCACTTTCAGAATTTTCATCAGCTACTTCTCCTAAATCGCGGAATCGGGTTCTATCGACTGTTTTATATGTTGGCTTGAATCTTTCAGTAGTTGCATCAGTTGGAATATCCTCTTCTTCTGATTCTTGGGTGTTATCAATTACATCTTTAGAAGGCCTAAAATAAGAAATGTCAAAACAATTAATATTATGTTATGTTTAATTGACATTTCATAATACAAACCTTTGACGTCTAATTGTGACATATTGAGGTTTGTCTTTCTTATAGTCTATATTGTCATCTTTTTTATCTAACCCTTCACTTTGGGGACCAGGTCCATTTATGTACGAGGACTGGAACCTGCATAATTAATATTTTTAAATCAACTCCACAATTATCTATGTATAAAATATAATACATTTACCTATTGGAAGGTAATTTCAAAACTTTATTGTAAAGAGATTTGCTTATTGCTGGAGTTGTCACTTCAGTTGACCCATCCTTAATATTAAGTTGTTTTTCCAACTCTGCTACACCACCTATATAAATAAATGTATTAATAGAAGTCCTAATTTTAAATAAACCATAGACATTTTTAATTGATTACGTAAATACCTAATTTCTTAATTAAAGTGATCAATTGTTTTATTTCTTTAGGATCTTCTTCTTCTTCAAACTCGTCTTCACTGTCATCTTCTACTTCTGGAGTTTGAGTTGTAGATGTGGTAGTTGTAGTTGTAGTGGTTTTTATTCCAGATTTTATTGGTTTGGGCGTAGTTGTTGTTGTTGTTGCTGCTGTTGTATCAGAAGTTTTCTTATCTTTACAGACAACGTTTCTAGTGTAATCACAAGAATCCGATATTTTATTGAACACTAATCCCGAAGGGCATGTAAATTGGTGAGCTACAATTCCTAAATTTGATGGACCGCTGTCCAAACACCAAAAATACTTTTTGCATTCACGTGGATGTGGAAAGAATCCTTCATCCTTACAGGTGAAATCTTTAAAACACAGATGTTTGTTTATTAACTATTATACATTTAAATATAAAAAATATTTTAAACGAACCAGTTCCAGTATCGGGTGTAGTAGGTGGTTCTGGTGTAGTTGTAGACACTCCTGACTTTTCTTGTGGTGCTGATGTAGTAGTAGTTCTTGCAACTGGTCTTGGTTTTGGTCGGGATTTGGATAAGGTAGTTTTAGTTTCTTTTCCTTGACTTGGTGCTACTTTCGAATCACTAAAATGTATATATATAGAGTTAAAATAAAAATTATTTGTATCATAATATAAATAAGTATATATTATACCATCTTATTATTGTACATACCCAAGTAGAGCTTCTTTTCCTGCTTCAATTAGTGGGTACGGTCTACTATGACAACTTCCCCTAAAGTCATCGTTGTCAATCGACCAAAACATTATACCTCCCAAATCGTTTTCATTTACATATTTAGCCTAATCAAAAACGCACAATTATCAACTTGTATTAGCTAACAATAAAATTAATATATAATAATAGACAATAGTATTGTTTTCTACATTTAATTATACCTTTAATTTAACGAATTCTTCGTCATCATATCCAACCCATTGATTATCTTTGTATGCATAAGGTCCCATTGCTTTTGGTTTTGGCTGTTCAATAGTCCAGGAGTCATCTTTTTTCAAATTTCCACAAATCTGTAAAAAATACAACATTATTCCCATCTGTATTATACTGTTATTTTATATACATTACACGATGTCAAGACATTAGAACAATATTGGGTATTGCCATATATGATCAATTACCACTGGAATGGACACCGGCATAATTTTAAAAATGTATGACAATATCCTCCCAAACAACTAATTGCTCATAATAATCAATATAAAAATGTTTAGACCTTTTATAAATTTATACTTAAATGATACGTCAATTACATACTGTATACATTGTATATAGAGTGTATCAGAAATACATGACAAATAAAAACTAATACTATGATACGGTTCAACGTATGACAACAATTATGAAAATTATGTCAATAATAAATAGTTTAAGTAATATATTTTTGTCGGGAAATTCCTAAAACTAATATTTTGAAAAAAGATATGGTATACTTTTCAAATTAATTTACTCAAAAAAAAAAATATATATATATTGATATTTAAAAAATAAACTACTTAACACAAGTACACGCTTTTAAAATTAGAATTTGTCAAAGATTTAGATTTATAAATTGGCTATTTCGAATTTTTATTTTCAGTAAAAAAAAAAAAATGTTATGCTAGCTGTATAAGTGCTTGTAACGCAAGTGTCTATAAATAATATATTATGTACAAAAAAATGTTTAAATTGATTAGAACTTTTATTTCATTTTTTCACTTATCAGGTCTTTCTACTTCACCTTGTATATATTACTATAAATTCAAATAATTGAGTTATAATATTTATGTTATTGGTTATTTGTAATTTTAAAACATATTGTTTTAATCAAAGAAAAGGGTCGAGAGTCGAGACTAGTGTAAAATAATATAGTTAAATATTATTTATTTAATATTAAAATATTTTATAAGATAAAATACAATAACGATAATTTTATACCTATTATAAATAGTGTTATTTTTTTTAATATTGAAAAACATCAAATTTGCACTTTATGTCATAGTATTTGAAAAATAAAATGCACATAGCTTTTATTATACATATATATTTAGTCCAACTAACCGACTATAGGTAATATTATGTAATATGTATGTATTTATACGAGTACTTATTGTTTATTCAGTATAAATTATAATGATTAGAACTTTGAATATCTTATCAATATATTATATTTTTCATTAAAGTATAATGTTGACACCATTCGCAAAAATGCTACGAATACTAACACTTTACATTGAAAACTACATGTATACAATTTATACAAGGTCGTATTCATGTACCAAAAACTTAAATTATGGGAAAGTTAAAAGACAAAGCCACCAGTTCTGTATATCTACATGCGTATAAACTAAAGATAGGTCTATACATTTATCTTGGGCGACAAATGTCTGAAAATCATATAAAAAATGTTATAATTTCATATATAGGTACCTCATAGTAGGCCAAGTATCCTTTTTCTCTAGTGGCTTCTCCCTTTTCTCCAGGACCATCTGATGGAGCGCCTATGTCCTTACTTTCTCGATTAAAGAGCGTATACGATCTACCGTAAGTTGGAATACCAAGGACCAGTTTTTCTTTATCAGCTCCAGCAGCAAGATAATGTTTGATTGTATGATCCTATATTTTTATAAACGATAGAATAATTATAATACAAGTTACAGTGTATAATAGTTAGCATCTATATAATTAAAAACAAAGTTCAAATTACTATATTAAGTTTTGCGTCAAAGTTATATTCTGAATCTTCTTCCAAAGGATAGAGTGGAGAATGGTGATTCACTGCTGGTTCAAATGATGAATGATAATCGTATGTCAGTAAATTCATAAAGTCCAAATGCCTATTAAAATAATAATATAAATTTAACACCAAATTGGGAAAAATAAGAAATATAAAGTAAAAATGTAAACCATGTTCTCACTTATTTAGCTCAGGAATGTCATATCCCTTATCAATGTACTCGATACCAGCTGGGACTGCCATAGTCAGAAGCAACCTAGATCGGCCCGTTTTTGATGATTCTCTATTAAACTCTTCTCTTAATTCCTTTATGTTATAACAAAAATAAAAAAATAAGTTATGTATTTCATGCATAGATTAAACTAAATTGAATGAAATATTTTTACCTTAACTAAGGACGCATAGTTTTCTTTGTCACTGGGCTTACTACCATCTCTATAGGCAGGGTACTCCCAATCCAAGTCAAGACCATCAAAATTATTTTGCCTGAGAAATTTAATAACATTTTTCACGAATTCTTTTCTTTTATCTTCATCGTCTACCAATTTCGAGAACCTAGCGGAACCTTCATTCCATCCTCCAATTGCCAGAAGCGTTTTGAGATTTTTGTTATAAGTTTTCAGTCCGTTAAATTTAGCGTAACCACCTATTTAAAATCAATCGGGTCATTCAAAAATATACAACAAAAATGACGCACTGTTGACTAAATTTACCTTGTTCAATATCTTGATACTTATCATAAGGACGCAATCCATTTTCCTTGTCAAGACCACCGAACGCGTAAATCAAATGAGTACACAAGTACGGGTTAATGTTTTGCGGTGAAAACTTGGCCGTGCCTGGTCTGTAAACACTCCAGTTCGTGTAGTAACACACTACCTTCTTTTGATTAGATGTTTCTCGTTTTTGTATATCATCTGTAAATTGTAATGTATTACAAAACCCCGTAATAAAAAATAAAAAAAATTTCGTCCTTGCGATCAAAGCGCAAACGGATATTCACGCAAGTGTTATACAATGCGTAAAGACTACAAACAAACCAAACAATCAAAATAGTAACGTGACTGGGATCTCACGCAGCAACGGCAACTGTTACTGCTAACAGTAACTGCGATGACCTAAGACCTGACTAACACAGTGGCGTTTAATATGAATATTATTAATAACTCGTTAAATTGTTTCCGAAACTTTGTGGAAGCGTTCAAAGGTATTGTTTTCTTTCGATATTACAATGGTAGACGGGCCAAGGTTATTGAAGTCTATGAAAAAGTGATGCAAATAATATAGAATGCAGATCATGTCGACTGGGCTTCTCAAGGTCTTGCAGACCGTTGAACTTAAATAGTTAAATGCGATTTTCTGATAATAAAAAAACATACACGCACACACACATTGAATCTAAATTATATTTTGCGATAAATGAGTAATAATATATTGTTAGACATAAAATAGTGCTAACTAATATTCACACATTCGTGGATTGGATAATAACTGCGAATGCATAATTCAATGATTTAAAGTCGTAAGACGAGGCAATTATTGTGTAACACAACTCACAGGCATACTATAAACATGATATATAATATAACTATATAAAAATACAATTTAATGTTTATTGTCTATAAACATATGTAATGTCAATAAAAATGTTGAATAAAACATGCCAGGTTTACTGTACACGATATATCGATATCTCCTCAAACGATGATATTATCGTGTTCGTTTTTAAAAATAAAAATATTTTTGATACTGGTTTATAAATTATAAATAATATTATTATATCACTTTTTTCACTTAAACATAACGTTTTATAATTTGTCAATTATTAGGAGGATATTATATTTTAATATTATGACTATAATAAAGAGGGAAAGTTCACCAGATTAAGTAGTTTTATTCATTTTTGTTAATATTATGTATTATTTTTAACGGAGAAACTTTTAAATTGTATATTTAGTTAAAAATAATAATACTTATTAGTTATTATAGTTATTAGTTTGGCTGACATTCAGCAAACAAATAATCTTGTTTATTAATTTTCTAAAATATGGGAAGTTAGTTATCCTATAGTTTTATCGGCATTATGTTAGACGAACCAAAATTAAGGAAAAAATTACAATGGCTGAATATAAGATTCTAAAGATTCTTCAAAGAGAACTATAATTAAAAATAAATTGTTGAAGGTTTATTCAAGAATGGAAGTGTGTAGGGGAGATTGATATGAGATAAACGTGTTGAAACTATTCGAAAATTTAAGATGATAAAATCAGTTGACGATCATCTCACGGTTGCTAAACACATTATATATATGAATAGAAATTAAAAACCAGTCATATCTCAATCGATTATATAATATTAAGTATATTGTACAATAGAGCTTTATTAAGCAAAAGCCACACGGTTGAATGACGCATTTATACACTTACGTTCGGCGTCAGATATAATAATTGACCCAAATATTAACAGCCATGGCAAAAATTGCATCTGAAACAGAAATATACATATTATGCCGTTGGTGCGTCGAATACAATAATAATATTATAATATCATGTTATCTGTAGCGTATAATTTTATTTAGTTATAACATATAATATAACTATAACATAAATCAACTACATATACACAGGTAGTTTGCAAACTGTACAAAAGTCATCACCAAACTTATGTTTCCGACGGTTATTCAACGAACAATATTTGCGTAACATCGAACGAACACAATATAATATAGATCATGTGTCGGTAAATCACATAATACACGAGACCGTGACAAGACCGCGTCGAATCTGTACGTATGACTTAAATGTTTTATGGGATAAAAATTTGAATTTGCATACTCGCACATGCGTGTGTCCGCGGGCACAAATAAAACACCCATTGTGCGAGTTCGTTGTATGGACGTCGTCGAAAACGATCCAAATTCGCTGAATAATAACGTTGCATTATGAGTAACCAATCTGCGTGGGTACCTGCAATATGTATGTGAAGGTATCGATACAAGACGCGCATACCCATTTCCTTGTAACGTATAATTTTTTTTACATATTGTAGTCTGACGGAGAGCAAAAAAAATATGCATAACGTCTGTTGCTAAACACACTCTGTGAGTGGGGGGCGGTCAATAATAATAACGATAGGACGGGGAGAGCAAAATGAATCTACATTATGTATAATGCATAATATAACATATACGTATAGACGTATAATGCGTATTATGTTATGATGATATTATAAAATATCGTTATGACGAGTCGAAAAAAATTTCACCCGAAACCGTGTGTTCGTCGTGTAGTATTTACCTATGTACACATATCATAAATTAAAATACAATATTCAATGGCGTATGATAATATTTCGTATTTTGATGTATCGTCGTGCTCGTAAGGTTGGCGGTTACGCCCGTTGAATAGGTACTACCCATGTTATAGTGTGATATGCAGCTCACTCTTATTGATATGTCATATTGTCATATAAAATTCGAATACGTTTTCTATTGACTATTATACCGAACCGATCCGTCTGTCGCAGACACTATTGACGAATCGCAGTAGGAACCTACCCATAATAATATGAAGAATTTTATAAATAATATTAAATTTAAATGAATACATAAAATGAATATATAATATAAAAAATATAAATATGAAATTTATAATTTTAAATGTGATGTATAGCATAGTTTGAGGCTCAAAACCGTATAATCGTCACCGCAACAAAACCTTTCCGACGACGGTGATGGCGTGGCGGAAAGTACACGGTATTATCACGGCGTTAAAAAAGTATAGATTATAATAATACCGAAACACGAATCCACGACGTTTTTTCTAAATGTCTTTTACTAATTATTATATTATTTCTTTTTACGCATAATAAGATCGAATTAAGTGTGCTGTTGTCACAGTGTGTTTTTGGTTGAGATAATATTATTGTTTCGTTTTTCTCACCGGCGGCCGCACGCAGTCCAATGAACAAAAATAGTGAAAGCCGAAGGCGTTGCGCGGGTTTTTTTTTCTCTCTCGCGTTAAGAAACTACCGAGATATCAACGACCTTCTTCCCACCCTCGCTCGGACAATCCTGTTTATCCTTAAACCTTATTCGTACGTAGGTACATGCACGTATAATATCGGTACAAGAAATGGGGGTTATCAATATTTAAATTTTACCAACGACGTGAGCAGAACGCTTAAACGCATCTCCGGTGATCGCTCGCGGGCTACCCATATTGGTATACCTATATGCATAGTGTAGATGACCGCAAATACGTTACGAATTTATTATTGTAATGACGTGTTCAACGATCCCGTGGCAGGTACAGGTATAATATTATTATGTATATAAAATATAATAATGCGCCGAGGCCTAACCCGACGACTTCGTATACTATAATGGTCTTCGTACACGCCGCAAAGTGCACCGAAGTGGGTAGGTATATGCCCTTTTAACCGGTTGAATACAAATTAGCCTACAGTGTAATACGTGTGATGTGACTGCGTAGAATACTTATATTATTATAATATCTCTTACGTGTGCCTCCTGGACTATTGTTCTCGTTGTAATGTTATTATATTATGAGATGTTATGCGTACTATGGTTTCACTAGATTAATCTGATTCTCACGCGCGAGATATCTGATGATACGCGTTTTGTTAAAATTATGTATTTTTTAGATTTATTTCATAGTTTCGCGCGGTGATCGTTGCGAAGACACACGAAATGATAATTAGTTTTGACAATATTATGTATTTTTATATAAAGTACGTGCATTGTTTGTTTGTGCATAACCACTGCAGGTATACAGACATAACTCTGAACAAAATATAATGTGTCTTGGAGCGTCACTCGATTTGAAATACTAAACTCAGCATTTTGTCCGAGTTCTACGCCAGATGATATATATATATATATATATTTTTAGTGGATAATATTATATACAGGATTTGCGTTACCAGTTTCGTTCCCACGTTTAAATTTACAGCTAGGCTGCGGGCGCACGTGTAGAAAACAATCTAGATATGTGGAAAAATGGCGCAAGGAAGTGAAACGAAAGTCTGTGTTTATATTTTCCGAAACGTTGCAACAAAGAATACTTAGGCATGGAAACTTATACACTGTGATCGGGTGAAATAATTTTAGTAGAAACTATAACAACACGCAGGTGAGAATTCAGCCTGGATGGGTATCCCTACACCAAACAAAACAAATTTGAAATTTTTACGAAATATGTGGCAACGCATGAGTTATTGTGAAAATATCAACTGCGTTTGAAAGTTCGAAATATTCCCTTGCATTTTGTGAGTTCATTTTAACCAGCATTGTGTGAGGTCCAAGCGTATCATTATTATTTGTTGCAGAATAAATGTTATTCATATTTGCAAGCTGAAAATTGAAATTAATGATCCTTATTCTATAAGAGAGTTTCGGTCTCCAAAATGTTATTACGTTTTTATGAACTTTGCAGTGTTATTTTGTACGGAATGAAAGAGAAATCTCCACGTATCTATAATTCATATTTTGAATTTTGCCAAGACTGTAAACCTGCAGCAGAAGTCAAACAAGTCTACTGCTTATTATATTAGGTACGATTCTCGTAGAAAATCCAATTTGGTTATAAACGCATAATCGAGTTATATAATAATTGTTAGTGTCCATGCATATAGACAAATGTTCTAAATAATATGATACTGAAAAGCCTCGGCGAAGAGATTGCTGCTCCATCAGTGACGGATCATTATTTACGAAATTATACTATTGCTCATTATATTATAGTCATGCATGTAGTGTAAGTCCTAAGTTTTTGTATATTATGCATAGGTATTATCGTTTCGTGCGCGTTCGTCACATGGTATAATATTATTATGTTGCAAAGCGTCTGCAACTGTCAGCGATGAAAAGCGAAGAGCTACATTTATTCGATTCGCCAATTTATAATGACCGACGAGTATGTTATAATAACTATAATCAGAACCCATCTATTATATATTATTGTTGTTTCGCTCTTTAAAAACTGCACTCGCGGGTGGTGGTGAATCGTTCGTCCCGACGTCCTTGGCGAGATTTACGGAAACCGATCCAACGTGAATTGCAACTTGTTTACTGCGACTGTTACATGTATTGTAAACGCGAGAGCGATGTATAATTATATTACAGACTCGTCGATAAGTGTATGTGTGTGTGTGTGTGTGTGTGTGTGTGTGTGTGTGTGTGTGTGTGTGTGTGTGTGTGTGTGGTGTATAGACATATCTATAGTTGAGTAAGATTGTCTTTTGAAAACTATTATGAAACGAAAAAAAAATATCGCCTCGCACATTTTATTATTAATTTCCCTATGTACACAGTAGGAACCTATATTAATTGGCGAGCTGTTGTCGGTTTTTTTTTTTACGGACTGTGCGGTAATTGTATATTTGTATTATATATATTTATACACTTATATATATATTTATATACACAGTGTCGACGACATGACAGAAGGAAGACGCATTGGACACGCATAACACTCGTTAAGTGCGTTGATTCACTTGGAAATCACCGCTAGAGACAGGATGGATTACAAATTAACATTATATAATGGTAATTGTGTCAGGAAGTTAATTTTGATTTGCAGCGCGTAGGTAATGCTGTGCAGGAATTCGCGTTGCATATATATATACATACAGATATATATATATTCGTAAACACCGAATTTCAACAGAAACTATGCGCTGTATATTTAACAATCACATAAACATAAATTATGATGATTATTGTAGTAATCGTAATTTTCCGACTGCAATAGCGGGCTTATAGTTATTTTTTTGTTTTTAATAGTATATATTATACCTAGTTGTTGTCAGACGTTATTTACCGGTTAAATAAACATTTATGACAAATATGGTTACATTTTTTTCGTGCAAATGGAAAAAATTGCACAACACCTATTGCACATTTTCGGTAAGAAAAAAAAACACATATAGAACTTAAATTTGAATAGAACAATTGATATTTTAGATATAATGATATTGTGTTCTCAATAACTCGAGGTGTTGATCATAATTTTAAGAACGTGTGAATACAAACATTCACTGTCATTCCAAAATTTTATTTTATTTATTTTTAATGACAATCAATTACAATAACATTAACCTATTTTCATTTTAACCGCATAAAATCTTTAACGGTCAGAGGCATAAACGCTTTACCATTCTTGTTTAAATTTCCATATTTCTAAACAATAAAACCATCTATATAAATTATAAAACACAATGCCTATAACCTATGTATTACACATTTACTCATTAGTTTACCCAATTTGTTTTCTTTATAATAAATGTAATATTTATACGCAATAAACCCATTAGTTAAATCTTATTACATGGGATTGTCCTTGACTTATTGTTAAAATATTTTTTAATCTTACTATTAACATATTTTTTTAATTAATTCTGCAAACTGCTTAAGGAATGTATATCCATTTAAAATTACTCATGAAATACAATTATTTTTGAGC